TCAGATTAACATGAGCCTTTATCCACATGAAAGGGATTTAATTAGCACAGCCCAAAGCTTTTCTCTAAGATGAGCTTGCTTAGGTTTAAGCAAACTTCATGGAGAGTTTGTCTTCTAAACACTCATTGAACAGAGAGCTAATTAAAATTGTTGAGCTAATTTTGATCAACACACTTTTGTCCAGTATTCGCTTATAAGCATCATTGGTTTGACCATAGCATCAGGCTAGTATATTCATATTTTAACACAGTTTGAAAATTATTGGTTTCACAAAAGTAATTATTTTCTTAATGTGTTTGGCCACAACATTCAGGGAACGGATGGGTTCCGTTCGATTGTTGGCATAAAATCACATTGGAGAAAAGAGGGGGGCCTGTTTATCTTTGCGAATGCACAAAGCATCCTCTTATAGCAGTAGATGGAAAGAATTGTCAAAGAACAATTATGTGTGTAGGATAAATGTCCTCAGAATAAGAAATCAGTGCAGAATGCATAGGTAAAATCCAGTAAACGCCACTTTGATGACAAACACCATTATGGCAGATTGGGAAAATTGTATATAAAAAACAAAAATAGACTAGATAGGAAGAATAACCCCCTAGAGGGTGGTCCTAGTGGCTGGTATGAGAAATATGTACACCATTGATACTAAATATCTATAAGCTTCTTGGAAAGATATATAGAGTGTAAGCAATGGAAACTCTAGCTTCTCTGGTATAACTAAGTATATTGAGGCAACAATAATATATAAACAAAAAAACTTTATTAGACTTGTGCTGCCCAGAGGATACTATAGTGTCAATGTGACCAATAGCTAGTGTTACTAAGTCTGTATTCCCCCTGTATCGAATAAACTTGGTATAATAAGGTAACAATCCACAGTAGTGTGAACGCTTGAAAAATACAAATAAACAACCAAGAGGAAAAGGGGGGAATAGATTAACAAAAAATAATGATTGGGTACCCTTATCGGTATATAACGGGATCCTAGGTAGAACAGTAAATCAATCAAGTCTAAGACACCGGGAATAGAGCCTTCTAGTAGGGAGATAGCAGAGTGTCTTTAAATTAGTAACTCCAAAAATAATAAATAATACATGAGAAACAGCAGCCTCTGACTTGTAAGCGGCTAGTGAGTATCAGAGTCTAAAAAGTCTGGCTACTGGAAACTGGAGTAGAAAGGAGGGATGGCTACTAAAGACACCACTATGCTAATACCCTGTAAGCTTCTATTAACACCTTCATGGGTGTTCTATGCTGAGGCTAATGCTTAACCCGGTGTCTTAAAGTCAATCAACCCTCGAGAAAGAACTTAAACATGCTTAGACTAAATACACAGAAAGAAGCAGCAACCAAAAAAAGGGTGAAAAACAAAGGGCAAATCCCTTCATGTGCATAGTGAAGTGCTCAAGTGAGATGAAGGGGTGGTGAGCTGAAACGCCCGACACGCGTTTCGGAGTGCAAGGACTCCTTCGTCAGGGGCTAAAAAATCCCGCCAAAAAGTCCCCGATATTTAAATATACTAATGGCCAATCAGCATTAAGACAATGGTGTGTCATCCATGACGTTTCAATTGCACCTACATGGGGCTGTCTGAATGGCCAATCAACATCAAGGCCATAATACGTCATTAGTGACGTTTGAATAGCACCCACGTGGGAATGTTAAAGGAAGAGTTTGCTACTCTTGACGTCAAACGATTGACAGCTTCCATCTCCAATTGGAGTCTCTCTTTCAATGATGGTTACAATGAATATCCATTAATAATATCGGCTGGTGATATACCGTGACAGAATAAAAAAGGAAGTCAAATCCCACTATCAAAAGCCATCCTGGCTTATATTTGATCACTACAGATACCACATAAACAGAAACTACATCAGCCGATAAATATTAAATAGTATAAGTAGCCATAATTGTTAAGTATGAGAATAATATAAATAAGAGATATCTGGAATATATAAGTATGTATATTTATAGAGGCATAATTAATTCACTTTGAGAAAGAGAATGTCTAACAAACAATATATATATAGGCGATGGCTATAAAGTGTGTATAGATTATATATAAGGAAAAATAAAAGGAAAGGAAAAATAATAATACTTATTATTATATTATAAGTTTATTCGATACAGGGGGAATACAGACTTAGTAACACTAGCTATTGGTCACATTGACACTATAGTATCCTCTGGGCAGCACAAGTCTAATAACGTTTTTTTGTTTATATATTATTGTTGCCTCAATATACTTAGTTATACCAGAGAAGCTAGAGTTTCCATTGCTTACACTCTATATATCTTTCCAAGAAGCTTATAGATATTTAGTATCAATGGTGTACATATTTCTCATACCAGCCACTAGGAGGACCCTCTAGGGGGTTATTCTTCCTATATAGTCTATTTTTGTTTTTTATATACAATATTTGTGTTCAAGCCCATAATTGGTGGAGCTGGTACCACCATCCGGACCTAATTTTCATAATCCTCATTCCAACGTTTTGTTGGTTGAGGAAAAAGGAAAATAATTCTACTTCTATTTGGGAAAATTGTAATTTAATTTGTAGTTAGTATGCAGCATGCTGTTTGGATCTTATTGCTCCAGCTTTGTTCACCACAGGGTTTGTTTTAGGAAAGAATCAATATGTGAATACCTGTACTGAACAGTAACATCTGGTAAAGGTGAAAGAGAGTGTCAGGGCTTATCCATACTCTACTGGAGGTGTACCTAGTTACTTGGCACCTGGGACGGATGTATATGTTGATATACCCCTGCAAATTCTACATTTATCTGTGTTGCTCCATACCCCGTAATCCCTTTGCACCTTGTGTGTATGTTAACACTCTTCACATTCCACCACCCCCCATGTACATAGTCACACGCAATCATACATGGCATCACATACATAATTACACACATTTACTCACATGCATACACAGATACACAAATACACAGACACACACAGTAATTAAATCTCCCTCCTGCTCTGCATCAGGAAGCAGGAGACAAGGCTGGAAGTGCAGTCCTTGTTTGCTACTGGTGGGGAAGAAGGGACCCCTTTATCAGTTTTGCAGTTTCCTTCCTGTAAGAACTGGGTAGAATAATGCTATATTCTACATAGGTCCTGCATGTCAATGCTCCACTATGTGCTTGTGTTTCTGTATATCTGTATGTGTCAGTGTGTCGTTCTGCATATTTGTATGTGTTTCTGTATATCTGTCGGTGTCAATGACTCAGACATACAGAAACACAAAATGACTCGGATATACAGAATCACAAATAGACACATATATACAGAAGCACACACTGACATACATATTTACAGAAGAACAAACACACTGACTCATATACAGAGACACACACTGACATAAACAGATATAGAGAAACACACACACAATGACTCATATGCAGAAACACACACTGACAAATACAGATATAGAGAAACACACAATGACTTGGATATACAGAATGTTTATCTGAGTCAGTGTGTTTGCGTTTCTGTGTATCTGTAGGTGTCAGTGTATGTTTCTGTATGCGAGTCATTGACACATACAGATACACAGAAACGCAAACACACAATGACTCAGATAAACATTCTGTATATCCAAGTCATTGTGTGTTTCTCTATATCTGTATGTGTCAGTGTGAGTTTCTGTATATCTGAGTTTTTTTGGAGTTTGTGTTTCTATATATCTGTATATGTCAATGACTCAAACATACAGAAACACACAAACACAAAATTAATCAGATATACAGTAACACACTGACACATACAGATATACAGAAACACAAACACACTGTGTTTGTATTTCTGTATATCTGAGTCATTGTGTGTTTGTGTTTCTCTATATCTGTATGTGTCTGTGTGTGTCTGTGTGTGTTCCTGTATAGCTGAGTCAACGTGTCTTTGCGTTTCTGTATATCTGTATGTGTGCCACTGTGTGTTTCTGTATATCTGAGTCATTGTGGGTTTGTGTTTTTATATATATATATATAAAAACACAAACCCACAATGACTCAGATATATGACTATATAGACTAGATAGGAAGAATAACCCCCTAGAGGGTCCTCCTAGTGGCTGGTATGAGAAATATGTACACCATTGATACTAAATATTTATAAGCTTCTTGGTGTGTGTTTCTGTACATCTCAGTCATTGACACATACAGATATAGAGAAACGCACAATCACTCAGATATACAGAAACACACACTGTGTGTTTGTGTTTCTGTATATGAGTCTGTGTTTCTTTATATTTGTATATCTCAGTGTGTGTCTCTGTATATCTGAGTCATTGTGTTTTTGTGCTTCTGTATATATGTATGTGTCAGTGTGTGTTTGTGATTCTGTAATCAGTCATTTTGTGTTTCTATATGTCTGACAAACACACAATGACTTAGATATACAGAAACACATGCAAATATACAGAAACACACACAAATACAGATATACAGAAACACAAACTCACAATGACTCAGATAAACAGAAACATACACTGTGTTTGGGTTTCTGTATATCGGAGTCATTGTGTCTTTCTGTATATCTGTATATCTAAGTCTTTGTGTTTGTTTCTGTACATCTGATTCATTGTGTGTTTGTGTTTCTACATTTCTGTATATGTCAATGACTCAGACATACAGATATACAGACACACGGTGTGTATATCTGTATGTGTCAGTGTGTGTTTCTCTATATCTTTTTGTGTCAATGACTCAGATGTACAGAAACTCACACTGACACATACAGATATACAGAAACAAACACACAGTGTGTGTTTCTGTTTATCTGAGTTGTGTGTATATCTGTTTTTCTGTATAGCTGAGTCATTGTGTGTGTGTATATCTGAGTCATTGTGTGTTTCTGAATATCTGTGTTTCTGTACATCTGAGTCATTGACACAAACAGATACAGAGAAACGCACACTAATTGTGTATTTATGTGTATCTCTATATATGTTTGTGTCAATAACTCAGATATACAGAAACACACAATGACTCAGATATACATACACATGGTGTGTGTTTCTGTTTATCTAAGTCATTGTGTATCTGTATTTCTGTATGTGTCAGATAAACAGAAACACACAACGTGTATCTGTATATCTGAGTCATTGTGTGTTTCTGTATATCTGTATGTGTCTGTTTTTCTGTACATCTGAGTCATTCACACATATAGAAACACACACTGACACATACAGATATAGAGAAACACAAACAGACTGACTCATATATACAGAAACACACACTGTGTTTGTATTCCTGTATATCAGAGTCAGTGTATTCATGTATATCTATATGTGTTTCTGTATATCTGAGTCAATGTGTCTTTGTGTTTCTGTATATGTTTTTGTATATCTGAGTCATTGTGTGTTTGTGTTTCTGTATATCTGTATGTGTCAATGACTCAGACATACAAAAAACTCACTGACACGTACAGATATACAGAAACAAACACACACTGACTCAGATATACAGAAACAAACACTGTGTTTCTGTATATCTGTATGTGTGTCAATGACTGAGACATACAGAAACACATACAGAAATGCATAAACACACTCACTCAGATTTACAGAAACACAAACACACAATGACACATACAAATATACAGAAACACAAACTGTGTGTTTCTGTTTATCTAAGTCATTGTGTGTATGCGTTTCTGTATATCGGAGTTATTTTGTGTTTCTGCATATCTGTATGTGTAAATGATTCAGACGTACAGATACATATAACTACACAATGACTCAGTCATTGACACATACGGATATACAAACACAGAATGAATCAGATATACATAAACACACTGAGATAAACAGAAAAGCTGTGCGTTTCTGTATCTGCTTTGTCAGTGTGTGCGTCAATATGTGCATGCACCTTAGCATTCAAATGCAAACACTACACACAAATACTACTTGCATTAAAAAGATAACACTACAGACAAACACACCTCTGTATTAAAACACCAACAGTATATATTTACACACCCCTCGTTAAGAAAATACTACACACAATCACATCCCTACATTCAAAAGCAAACACTATACACAAGTGCACTACTGCTTTTAAGTGGTAAAAGTCAAGGTTTAATGATTTATAGTAGTTCCTTCCCCTCCCCCCCTCCCCCCCCCACCTGCTGACCACAGAATGGGGCAAAATAATAAAGTCCCCCTAGTTTTTTCATTACATTATCTACCTTCTGGCCACAGATGAGGACAGAGGGTGGATAGTAATCTGCCCTTCTCCCATTCACATTCCATAGCCAATGCCAGGTTGGTTTTAAACCTCTCTTACAGCAATACAGGGGTCTTAATTTCTTTAACTTTTTTTTTTTTTTTTAAATGTAGCAGCTGGTAGTGTAGACCAAATAATTAATCCTTACATTGTTGAAGGTTATTTTACTTAAAATGAACGATAATTTGTGAACGTGCATCCTAAGGAATGCATTCGCCCCCCTATTTTATAAAAAATTCCAAATCCTTCTTTGTATAGAATGCAGATGCAAAAAGGACAGATTTTAATCTGGACACCGAATGGATTTGGGCGACTGCTGCAGATTCGCTCGGGTAGAGAAAATGTAAACTGTATTTAGCTCAATAAATATGAGAATTGCCTTTGCAGTGGGAATACGGTCACTTTGACCAGATTTTGTCAGTTTGGTGAATAACTTGTATGTCAGGATCTGCTTTTTTGGTTTGCACTGCCATCTAGCGTTTCCTTGTATAGCTACTACTAATTGTCAAAGGACTTTCAAAAAAATCATATATACTTTTTAAAGCTGTACTGTAACCCCACCACCAAAATGAGTATTTCATAAAGATAGCATCTTTATGAAATACTCCGATTAAAGGTGTTGGACTTGTCACACTGTCACCAGACCTGAGTTGTCACCGTCGGCGGGGAGTTATTGCAAATTATACAAAGACCTAAGACAGTGATAGATAATCAAAATTAAAGTGGCTCTGTTATTTTTCTATTGTTTAATATTTGGTTATTATTCAATAGCTATTTGTTGCAACTCTACACTTGTATCCATGTGTTTATTATATGTTTGCTCCACTAGTAATGATCAGTGTAATCCCAATATTAACAATTCTGTTTTTATATATATTTTATTTATTTTTTTATTAGTAAACCACTCTTTAGTCTTTGGATTCAATATAATATTTTATATTAATACTTTATTCACCACATCTTCATTTGTTTTAAATTAGCATGATTACAATCTTAGTATTTAAAAATGTTCCCAAAATTATTTTCTCATAGATTACGTAGGTCACAAGAAATTCACTGTTAATGTTAATACATTTTGCAATGTATCTTTCTTTTTAAAGCACAAATGGCACATCTTAGTCTGCCCACCAAAAAAAAGAGGCACTGTAACGTTTAAGAAGTAAATTACTGTAGCGATCTTGTACTATTGAAAAAACAGACACACAGAAGCTCAGGAGACAAACATGTTTTCAAATCTTCATATAATCAATCTCTGCTACTGTTATTGGCAAACATTTTGTATGATCCCTACGCAGGCCAGGAGATGTATTAAAGGAACAGAAATCTACATTTTCACTCTGAGCTTTGGAACCTATATAGGGGACTATTCCACGTCAAAGACATGGAAGCCCTACATCAAAATTAAGTTGTTATGGTAACAGTTCCTGTGATATACCTTTCTAACACAGCTTTGTGAATGGGGAGCTATTAAGCTGCTGAGAGCATTAACCGATTCTCTCAGCGGCACACACTCCGAGACTTCCTCATTGAAGCCTCAGCCCATCACCGGAACCAGAAGGGCAGAGTGGATGGGTGTGATCTTCACTACAAAGGGGTTTAACCGTTAAGGTAACACAGCACCCAATATCTCCTGTCACCAAAGCAACTTCATTAAGGTAAAGATTATACGTTGTCCAGAGTGTGCCTTTAAATAGTTTACAGTGCCATGTGACTGTGAATAACATCTAAGAACCGCAATAGAGTAACACAAATCAAAATGTTATATGAATGTAGGAGCTCCCCCTAAAATGTACCTTGGAATAACTTTACAGAATAGGATTATTTTATTTTCTTATAAATAATACCCTAAGAATTTTCAGGTATTTGAGATTAAAGAGCTATAAATAAGAAAGAAAATGAACAGTTAAACACACAAAAAATGTCAAACTTAATTTTATCTGCTGTGACTGAGGTACCAATTCTAAATGGATGCCCTGTAGAGAGCAATGAGACAAAACAGGGATGTAGGATAGATATCTCACTGCTACAAAACAAGGCTTTCACGTTCTCAGATCATGTCCTAGTCAGCAAAGTAAATTACATCTAAGAGAGAAAAAAAGCATAGATCAGGATAAATCTGAAAAAGCTTCAGTGCCAACCTTGCATAGAATAAGAGGATATTGTGTTTTCAATGGATACATAGATATGAATAACCATTCAAGTTAGGTGAGAACTTAAAGGAACACTCCAGACACCATAGCCATTACAGTCTGCTGTAGTGGCTATGGTGCCAGGAGTGCTGTGACGCTGTACCAGTTTATGTAGTCAAACCGGTTAAGAACGGCTTCACAACCTAATCTGGCCCCGGTCACCTGTGGTGCTGGAAGGTCCAGCAAGGAAGTTCTATTAGCTTCACCACCTGGCAGAAGACTCGAAGGTACGTTATGAAATCATTCTTAAACAGTTTTCTACTTAGACTGGGAGAGAACCAGGACACTCCAGGTACCATAACCACTACAGCAGGCTGTAGAGCTTACGATGCTTGGAGTGTTCCTATAAAAGCCACCACCTCCAAGAAAGGGAAAAAAAGTACGAACTACGGCCAATTAACATTCAAAGGACAATGGTCACCTCAAAACTATTTTATTAATATAATAATCCTCTCATCAAGTATATACAAATATAAATTCTTATGAAATCCAAACTGCATGGTGTTCTTACTCTCTAGGAAAATACTATCAGCTATTTCTGCAAAATTAGACAACTGAATAGGAGTTTTGCTTCAAGTTGTAAGTTATGCAGAATGTGATAAATGCTGGGGAGTTCTGAAAGTGGAGTGTCTGAAAAAGATCAGCTTCAAAGTACAAAGATATGTGGGAACATACTTACTATGACTCTCTCTTTACTAGGAGAGGAAGACTTGCAAATGCCCGAAAAGCATAGACTGCACAGAGCAATGACTGATGATGCCCCTGTTCTGTGCAGGGATTGAAGCTGGGAAGATTACAGAGATGAACGGTTGTATTGTAAAACTGTCCCAACAAAGGCGAATACATATGGCTGAGAAAAAAACTAAACCAAAACTCCTAACTTTAAAATGACAGTATTTTTTTTAATTGAAGTATATGTTAAAGAATCCTATTTCCTTTCAACACTTGATGAAAAGATTAATATGTTAAAAATTATTTTGAGGTGACAGTTGTCCTTTAAAAATAAATGATGCAAATCACAGATGACTGGGATTCAGTTTCTTGATGTTTGAAAAGTGACGATTTCAGTGTTCCTACTGTTATCACGAGGTGTGCTCTTCTGTTGATGCTGCCAAAGGCCTGAGCTAGTCATTGGCATGTTAGATCTGCTCACATTGACTGGAATGTCCATACTGAGAGCAAAACATAGCACTCAGTGTCTTGTTTTTAGTTATTGGGCTTCAATCATAAAGTTGTCAAACTGGGCAAATTCAAAGGAGCTTGTTCCTATGGCAGCCCAGCCATGCATGGGTCCGATGGTGATGACGTCTTTCCACAACAAATTTCCATTCAGTAACCCGGAAGCATAGAAACCCTGCAGGGATCCGAGATAAATATAAAAGCAATGTTTCAGCATAGATTTGTAGAATCGTTAATCTAGAACAGGAAAGCTGACTAAGTGCCATTAGTAACAAATCTTACTATTCTTCACCATAACCACATGTAATATGTTATAACCAATTCTAAGAAAACTGCTAAAATTCCTATTTGGAAGGTTTTGTGGTATTATGCATCTGTCAATACTACAAATGTACATAAATATCTGAACAGTAACTGATGAGAAGCCACAATAACATGCATTGTCATCTACTGAATCTGATATATGTTTTCTTGAATTGACAGACAATACATTCATTTCTA